TAGAATATACATTATGAGAGCTTGAAAAACAGGAGTATTCTCTTTCTTGGGGGTGCCAGACTCGCCATAAATCCAGGAGGTAATTTTTTCTCAAAATTTCGTTAAAACGTTAAGCAGGATTTATTGTCTGTCCCTGTCTATCATTTTTAATTGATTTATTCCTGTCAATGGTGGGATCCAATAAACAGTTGAAATCTCCTAAAAATATAATTCTACCATGCTTTATTCTCTCAGCCCAGGAGACAATCCTATGTATAAATCTAGTTGGAGAATGATTAGGGGCAGACAGATTTACTATTGTATGAATTTTATTGTTAATTTCACATATAAGTATATGAAACTTGCCTTCAATATCGGTATCCTGATGTATCTGCTTAAAGGACCACTATAGTGCCAGGAAAACATACTTGTTTTTCTGGCACTATAGTGCCCTGAGGGTGCCCCCACCATCAGGGTCCCCCTCCCGCCCGGCTCTGGAAAGGGGAAAAGGGGTAAAACTTACCTTTTTCCAGCGCTGGGTTGGGAGCTCTCTGCCTCCGATCCTCCTCCTCTCCTCCCCATCGGCTGAATGCGCATGGAAAAATCCTTAAATCTGACCCACTCCTTTTCTTGTATTCCACAAATAGATATAGATACATCATAGTATCATTATAAGATCATCCTTATGCCCCCACCCCCCCCCTCTACCAACACTCCCTCCGCAGGGACTTTCCCTAATAATACATAACATAAATTGCACACAAACATTAAACATAAATAATCCCACCCACTTAGACACGAAGGAAATAAATCTCCTCCGATAGATAAAGCGCCATATAGATAGGCTTTAACCTATCTAAAAAAATAAACCGCTATCTGCAGTGATGATGCAAGACTTACTCAAAGTTCAATAATAGAAAATAGAAAGTGGCAATCCCGAGCTATAGACACGATAAGAAGAAGAAAAAAAAAATCAATCTTAGTACAATTAGCTTCCTTTATTGAAAACTCCCGAATAGGGGAGTAAATGAAGGAAAAAGACTCCCTTACGTTAAATGAGAATATATAAGTGCATTGTAGATTTTAGAATGTTAACAATATCCAGTGCAATTAACTTTATTTAATACAGACTCCTCAATATAGCTATATAAAAAGTGAGATTCAAACCTCATGAAATATCAGGTAAGAGCATTAAATATTTTAAAATTAGAAGTGTTAGAATTAAAGTGCATATGTGTAGCATAATATATAAATTTGCAATAAGAGGCACTACAACTATTTTATGAAAGTGTCACGATCACTTTAGGAAAAGCGAATACCTTGTAATTTCAAAATGTATGTGCCTTCGAGAAAATATAAACCTCAAAGATATTTAAAGAAGCTGATGTCGCTTTTCCTACCTACGAGATAAAAACTAGATTCTCTAGATTTATCCCAGAAACCAATAGTAATATTTATAAACAGTTCCACTAGTAAATCACAAGTCAGAATTTTTTTTTTTAAATTCAAATATATTTTCCATATGAATCCACGTTCCCTACGCCCAACCTCTCAGTACATGCACGTTACAGAGAGGGAAGGAGAAGGGAAAGAGGAGGCGCCAGGAAAAATAAATAAATATATCAAATTAACCTTCGTGCAATTAGCTTCCTTTAGTTATAAGGAAGGAGAAAAAGGTGGCGCCACAGAGATAATATATAAAGTGAACTATATAAAATATATAAATAATATATATATAAAATGAAATATAAGCAAGTAGTAATATAGAAATAAACAATTATATATTACAGAGAGACAACAATAAAAATAATAGGTATATATAACAGTCCAAAAAGAGTCTAGTAAAACCTTTGGATGAGAGAACAGTCACAGTTCTATCTGAGGTAAAGACGTCTATGGAATAGAGGGATTGAAGGGTTCTTGGGATCCGTACAAAAGAGAAAAGAAAATCCAATAGGTAGCAGCTGATAAAAGAGATCTATATGGTCCTACTCACGTTTTTGTTTTTTTATAAATTCTTTATTTTGGAGGATTTTGTTGTTTGGGGTGGGGGTACAGAAATTAAAACTTGGGGATACAGTTTTAGTACAAGTTTCACAGAGCTGACATGTTTTAACATGGCATTTGACCAAGCTTAACATTTTTCCATGTCTGTCATCGTTGTCTTGGGGTTGGGGTGGGGTACAGAAAGAAAAAGGGGGGTCGGATACACTATCACACACATTTTCCTTTGTGCCTTTATTTTTCATTTCGATTCTTTTTATTTTGGGTGCAGCCGGTTGGAACAGAGAGTGTGTTGACCTATGTGAGGTGGTGTCCATGTTGATTTGTGCTTTGCGTTATTTGTCATGTGGTGCCCAGGATTTGTGGCTCGTGGGTGGTGTCTCCCTGTCTATTTTGGTTCACGTGTGTGTGTTCTGGGTGCCCCGTTTTGTTCTGGGTTATGGTTTTGTTCGTTTTGTCTTGTGTTGTGGCGATTCTGTTGTGTGTTAGTGAAGGTCGAGCTGTTTCGGCGGCCTCTTGGTACCTCGGTTGAGATCGGTCTCCCTGAGTGTGTTGCGGTGTGTCCTAGTTTTGGGGTTGTGATCAGTCTCCAGGGAGATGTTGCGTGATGATTCTCTCGGTTTTGGTGGTCGTGGGTTGTGGTTTGAATCTGTGGGATTGCGTCTCTGCAGGTGTGTGGGGGGGGGAGAGTTGGGGTAAAGGGGGTGGATGGTGGTTCCATGTGGTGTTTGTGGTGTGACTTTGTGTGGGGTGGGTCTGTATGTGTTTTAGGTGGGGAGTGGGAATTCGTAGAACCACGGGTCCCAGATTCAATGGAAGTGTTTGGTCGTGTCGTGGACCATTGCGGACATTTCGTCTATTTTAGTTGTGTCTTTTATCTTGCGGTGGACTGTGTCCATTGATGGGGTGTCTGGGCTGCCCCATTTTTCTGCTATGGCTCTCCTGGTGGCTAGTGCTATTTTGGCTATTAATTTCTTTTGGGCCCTGGGTGTGTTGGTTAGTGGTTTTGATAGGAGTCACGTCCAGGGGTCTAGTGATATATCTGTGTGCAGGATTCTCGATACCATGGAAGCTACTTGTTGCCAAAGTTGTGCTGTGGGGGTGCAGTCCCACCACATGTGAAGGTATGTACCCTTTTGTCCGCATCCCTTCCAGCAGGAGTCTGTGTCTGACCTGCCCATCTGAGCTTTAGGGGGGTGAGATACCATCTCATTAGCGTCTTGTATGCCTGTTCCTTATGGTTGACGCATATAGATATGGAGGCTGTGGCCTCCCAGATCTCGGCCCAATCGGATGGGTCCTCCACCGGACCTATATCCCTCTCCCAAGCCGACACATATGTAAGGGCTCAGTCTTTGACGTTTTGAATTATGTGTGTGTAGAGTGCGGATATTTGGCCTTTTTCTGTTGGTTTTTATATACATTCTTTTTCGAAGGGTGTGAGTGCTTTAGTACCTGCTTGTTTGATTGCCGGTGTTTCCTGGAAGCTTTTGGATGTCGCGGAACATGTCGAAAGTGCGGTATGGTGTGGTTTGTGGGAGGTCTGAGAAAGGTATTGGTTGTTTGTTACTGTAGAAGTGGCATAGTCGGGTGAGGTCGTTTTCTTCAAAGCGGGCAAAGTCTTTGGGTGTCATGCCCGGTGGGAATTGTGTGTTGCGGAGCAGCGGGGTTAGTGGCGAGTGTTGTGTTGTGAGACTGCTTTTTTGAGTTGTTTTGTCCCAAATGTTTGTGGTGTTGAGTATTGCCGGGGATGTTCGGGGCAGGGGGGGTCTCGCTGATTTTGGTAGCCATGTATATAGGGAGGGGAAATCTCTGCCGAAGATGTCATGTTCAAGGTCTACCCATCGTTTGACCCCGTACGGGGCGTGCCAGTTTTGGGCTTGCGTTAATTGGGCTGCCTGGTAGTAATGGGTAAGGTGTGGTAAGCCTAGGCCCCCGGCTCTGTTGGGTACATAAAGGGTTTGATGTTTTATCCTGGTGCGTCTGTTGGACCAGATGAATTTGTCGATTGTGGTTTGTAACAATTTGAAGTCGGCACTCCGAATTGTAATTGGTAGGGCTCGGAACAGGTATAGCAGTCTAGGTAGCACATTAATTTTGACTGATGCCAATCTACCCAGCCAGGATATCGGCATGTTTTGCCAGGTGGAGATGTCGTGGGTTATTTTTTGTATCATGGTGTGTAGTTCAGTGCGTAGCTTTGGGGGAGGTCTGCCGAGATGGAGACCCCCAGGTATTGTATGTGGGTGGAGTTTAACTTGAAGGGGTACTTATCTTTGATGGCTGCTGTTGTGGGGGGTCAATGTGTATGGCTGAGTCTAAGGGTTTGTAGAAGCGGTTCAAGGGAAAGTGCAAAGAGGACTGGGGATAGTGGGCATCCCTGGCGCGTGCCGTTGTGGATCGTGAAGGTGGGGGGTTGTGTAAGCGGGAGTAAGAGGTGGGCCTGTGGTGTGGCGTAGAGTACCTGTAGGGCGTTCCTGAATCCTTGTGGGAATCCAAATTTCTTGAGGTTCGCGAACAGGAAGGGCCAGAGCAGTCTGTCGAAAGCTTTTTCAACATCAAGTGAGAGAAATAGGGTCGGGATCTGTCTTGTGTGGGCTGTCCAGATGAGGTCGTATGTCCGTCTTGAGTTGTCGCTTGCCTGACTTGTTGGTATGAAGCCTACCTGGTCTGGGTGGATTAGCTGGGGTAGAAAGGGGTTAAGGCGGTCCGCTGGGGGGTTGATGAGCAGTTTAATGTCCACGTTGAGGAGTGAGATCGGTCGGTAGTGTCCCGGGTCTAGGAGCATTTTGTTGGGTTTGGGGAGAAGGCATACGTTGGCCTGTAACATGTCTGGTGGTAGTGGGTCGCCTTGCAGGATCGCGTTGTAGAGGTTGCAGAGGTGAGGGATTAGGGTGGGTGCATATGTTTTATAATAGAGTCCTGTGAACACGTCTGGGCCCAGGCTTTTGTTAGGTTTCAGCGCTTTTATCGCCCCCGCGAGTTCTTCCGACGTGATGGGGCTGGACAGTGTTTGCGCTGCTTCTGTGGGGAGGGAGGGTAGTGGGACCTGGTGGAGGTATTGGTCAATGAGTGATTTAGTGTGTGTCGGGTGTTGTCGGGCTTCAGGTGTGTGGTCGTACAGGGCTTCGAAGTATTTTTGTAAGTCGCTGGCTATTTTGCCCGGGTTCTCTGTGAGGACTCCTTCTGGTGTGGTTATTTTGTTGATCTGTTTGCGTTCTGTTCTTTGTTTGAGTCTGCGTGCGAGTAGCGTGTCTGCATTATTTGCTTTGTCATAAAATAATTGTTTTGACCACAGTAAGGCTTTGGTTGAGTCTTTCGCCATGTATTCTTTTATGTCTGTTTGGCATTTTTTGATTTGTTGGGTTAGTTCTGGTGTTGGGTTGAGTTTGAGCTTGGCCTCTAGGGTCCTGAGAGTCATTCCAGGTGGGCTACCTGTTTTTTTTGTGTGTATGGTCGCTTGGTTGATCATGACTCCCCGGATTACTGCCTTGTGGGCTGCCCATAGGGACCCTTTGGAGGTTATCGAGTCCTTTTTTAGTGTGAAGTATTCTGTGATGACTCGGGCTACAGTTTGTCGGATTAGTGGGTTGTGTAGTAGGGTGAGGTTTAATCGCCATGACCAGGTTCTTGTTGTGCAAGGTAGGTTGAGTGTCAGTGTTATGTCTGCGTGGTCGGACCACGTGATGGGGCCTATGTTCGTGTTTTTGACCATGGGTGCCAGTGCCGGGGATATGAGAAAGAGGTCTATGCGGGAGTGTGATTGATGTGGGTGCGAGAAGAAGGTGTAGTCTAGAGATGTGGGGTGGTGGGATCTCCATGCGTCGATCAGGTGGGTTCTCAAGATGAAAGCGGAGAGCATTTTGTCTGCTTTGGGCGTTGGATGTCGGCGGTGTGCTTGTGATTGTGTGCCGTGTCTGTCTACCACTGGTGATGGTGTGGTGTTGAAGTCCCCGCCTAGTATGGAGTGGTGGGAGGGGAAGAGGGCTAGGTGTGCTTGTATTGTGTGCCAGAATGCCCTGGAGGGGGTGTTCGGTGCGTATATTGATGTGAATGTATAGGGGTTGTGGGGATATTTATGGGATAATAATAGTAAACAGTGAGAATTGCCCACTAATTCAATTCTCAGATCCCAAAGGTCGTTATCGTGTTAAGTGAAAAGTATTTCATATAAATAAAATCACAATTTTGTTATAAAAATAGATTTTATTTTATAATAACAAATTAATTAATAATAATATGTAATAATAATAATAATATGTAATCAATGAATATCCAGTATAAAATGGTATGCAATACAAAGGAATGGCTATACACGTTTCAATGGCTAAACAGCATTTTCTGTCAAGACTTACACGATTTATGACTATCTTTCACAGAGAGAAAACGAAGCTTTTCACAGCGAAGGGCCATAAAACCCTGGCTAACAGTTAGATCAACTGAATAACCCTTTCAATGCTGGCTAGATCCTCCTAGGTAATTAAGATCTATTCCATATATCTATTCAAATAAAATAACGTTTAAACCAGTTCATTAGTCATTTCCTGGAACCATCCAATAAGAGAATCTACCATGATTTTTACAAAAGCAGAATTTTAATTCGCCTAAAAAGATATCTTATCTTATATTAGAGCAAATCAATACACCTGGATAAAAACAGCGGTATGCTAACACGTGATAATATCACATTAATATATAATTATTCTTAATTCCACCTGCAGAATGGAATGTTTATAACTATATATTCTTTAGTTAACTAAGATTTCTTAATATGGAAATCTGACCGTGATTTATCCAGTCATATATCATATTAGTACATTTTAATAAATTTAATTAATTAAATTAAACCAGTATAATTACCAGTTGAGTAGGTATTTCATCCGATTGGTAGATAGTCTCAGGAACTTATTTGGATGTCTCTCTGCATGGAGTTATGGTGAAAGGTGGTGTTGGTTAGGAAGTCAGTAAAATTCTAAGTGTTCTAGTGTCTTCCCTTTGTCCTAACTTTTAAAGGGCCAGACTCTCTGTACGTCATCAGTTGATAACCCAATAGAAGCACTAGAGGTGTGCTTACCTAGGGATCGCAATTTAGGTATTTGGTCTATAGAGGGTAGTCTTGTCCCACTAAACATACCTATCCAGGAAAGAGTTAACTTTTCCTGGTGGCTATTTTGACGTCATTTTGGCTTATCTTTATCGTGGCCATAACTTACGTTTTCTTTCACTTCAAAGGGTTTTCTCTTAGTTTTGTCCAGACTTAGTGTCCGCAATTCCTGCTATAATTTCTAAAATGGCAGTTCATGAACTAAGTTTAACCTTTTCCGTACAATGGTACCTTATACATATAGAAAGTAAAATTTAATTATTTAATCTTCTCTGTCACCAATGTCTGGGTTTAGAATTGATCTATTCCATTAGCATTTAGACAGTCTATCCAACCCCCGTTCTCCTTATCACTTGGTTTGTATATACTATGCATTCCTTTAGCTCTGGGAAAGTGGTTAGTTTTACAGATAGGATAGAAATTTCGTGTCTCTTTGTTAACTCAGGGGAGACTCATAATATACACTTTTAATTTCTATCATAGCACAAGATGTCTGCCGATATAAATACCCTGACAGGGTGCGTGCCTATTTTGCCTATTACCGTAAGGTATCGGCCTTGTGGGTCGGCTATCGTTCGTTGGATAGAGAGAGAGCACGATTTCTGGATGATTATGGCTTTTTTGCATGTCTTGGGGGGAGCTAGCGAAGTGATTAATTCGGTAGTGTCGACTCAGGAGAGGGAATTGTTTGGCTTGGGTGAAGTGTGTCTCCTGGAGGAGGAGTATGTCCGCTTTCGATCTGTTTGCCCAACGCATTAAATGGTGCCTTTTGGCGGGGTTGTTCAGGCCCTTGCAGTTAATCGACAGGCAGGTCAGGGTGGTTAGTGCGGTGTTGTTCTTCTTGTGTGTGCCTCCTTGTTTGTGGTGTTGTTGGTTCGGGGGTGATACGTGTGGTGTACCTGAGGGATGGAGATAGAGAGGGGGAGTCGGGGCGGAGAGGGAGACGGTAACAGAGAGGGATGTGGGGGCGTGAGTGGGGGGGATGTTGGGGGGTGGTGTTAGGGTGGGGGAAGGTGGGTTAAATCCTGGTCTTACTAGTCTATTGCCAGTTGTTGTGTGGGCGGGAGGGGGATTGTGTGTTCGTTTGCAGTTGGGGGTTTTGTTCGCCTATGTTCTCTCGGTGTGGGTTGGGTGTTCTCAGTTGTGTTGGTTTGTGTGAGGTTGTGGGGAGGAGAGTGGACTGTCAGCGTGCCAGTTGCTCCCCACCCCGGGGTTTTCGGGTGGGTGCATCTCGGTGGGGTGTGGTGTTTGGGTGAGTCTGCTCTGGTTGCGTGTTTGTGCTGCTTTATGGGTTTGCATTTGTTTGGCTGTGTTGATGGAGAAGGATGTGTGTTCATATATCTGTCCTGAGGGTTTGCTGTGGGTGTGCTTAGCAGGTTGAGTCTGCAGACCTGGTTGCGTCTTTGTGTCATTATGGTTCAGGGGTATTTCATGTGGGTCTGCCTTCTGTCTGCATGGGGTCGTCTTGGGTCTGTCCATTGGCTGTGGATTCTTTGTCTTCCCCCGATTCTGGTGGTTGTGATATGAGCTAGAACAGATAAGTGGTTACAGCTGCATTACATTCAAACCTTGTGAGTCATACCTTGAAAGTGTTTGGGTATTTGGGTTGCCCTGGGTCGTGGTTCATGACCCCTTGGCGGGGGGGGTTTGCTCCCTTCAGTTCTTTGGCGTTCATGTTGTGTGCCTGTGTTCGGTTGGTGGTATGCTGGGGGGTTCGGGTGCTGCCCACCCTGCAGTGTGTGGGTGATTGGATGGGGCTGGCGTCTTTTCTGCATCTCGGTTGGGTCCTTTCTAGGGGACTGAGTCAAAGTTCTCTGTTCTGCTGTCAGGGAGTAGAGCCTTGTGGTTGCATAGTACTTGTATTTTGCTGTGCTTACTACTTATGGGTGGGGGTGTGGTGGGGTGGGGGGGCCACGGTGGGCTGGTTCCCGGGTTGGAAGGGTTTGTTGGGCGTTGGTGCTTTTTGTCCCCTCGTGTGGGGTTGACCCTTGCGGGTGGTACCTTTATATGCCACTTTACTTCGTGGTGTAATTTGTTGACCTTCATGAGTAGAGCAGTTTTGTGGTGAATTTCTATGACAGGAGTGAGCGACATTGTGTGCTACATGGTGGGTTGTAGTATCAACCCTTCCGTTCGGTTGGGGGGGCGTTGCTTACCTGTCACATATTCATCCGCTTATAGAAATGTGGTTAATGACATTTACTGTCCACACAGGAAAAGTTGTGCCGAGCAGCAACCTAATCCACAGAAGGGTTAATGCTGAGCAGTAATTGTGCAAATGAAACCTGGTGTCATGTATTCATCCGCTTAGAGAAAAGTGATTAATGACATTTACTGTCCACACAGGAAAGGTTGTGCCGAGCAGCAACCTAATCCACAGAAGGGTTAATGCTGAGCAGCAATTATGCAAATGAAACCTGGTAACTGACTTTGGGGTCAAAGGCCGGTTACAGCCTATCAGAACTAAAGGAGGGGTATTTAGGCCCAGTTCTCAGCCTGCTCAGTGCCCTGTCGTGGTTTCCCTTGTGGTTGTCTGAGAGCGCGTTCCTGTTTATAGTTTTCTACCTGGTTTTTGACTTTGACTTTGGCTTTGTTTATTGACTTCTCTATATTCTGGTATCCTGACTCCTGGCTTTCCTCATCGCTGTGTCCCTTTCTGTGTTCCCTGACCTCGGCTAGTATTTTTGACTATTCTTTGTACGTTAAATCCGGCCATTCTAAGGACCGGTAATACGTTACTTATTTGTCATCCGTGCTGTACAGTTCTACGTGCTGGATCAAACAGTAATCCTGACATTACGACATGGCCATAGATCCTGTAGAACTGTGTCAGCACATAGCTGCTTGCGAGAGGAAATTAGAGGAGAATGATCACCGCATGGATCAATTCACTCAGGCTTTAAGTACGCTTCTCGCTAGAACGGAGCATCTGCAGCCTGCAACGTCTCCTCCTATAGCACCTCTACCCTGTGTACCTCCACCCACTGTTAATAGGACTCCTTGCATCTCCTTATCACCATCCCTACAGTTTGATGGCAATATCCAGGAATGCAGAGGTTTTCTTAATCAGGTGGAGTACCATTTTGAGGCTTCACCAGGGTCATTCCCCACGGACAGAGCCAGAATTGGTTATCTAATGAATCAATTAAAGGGCAAGGCCCTTGCCTGGGCTAATCCGTTGTGGGAGAGTAATCGGAGCATAGCTCATAATTAACAGGAATTCCTTGCCGAATTCAAGCTCACGTTTGAGCCATTGGGTAGAGAGGATGACGCCTCCACTGCCCTAATGCACATCAGACAAGGTCTATCTCGGATTATGCTATTGAATTCCGTACCTTAGCTTCCGAGGTAGACTGGACTAACAATGGGTTAATCTCAGCATTCAAAAAGGGTCTCTCAGAGACTATACTAGATGAGATAGCTGCTAAAGAATTACCTAAGAGTCTTAACGAATTTATTACGTTTGTCATGCATATTGATAATAGGTTAAGACTCAGAGAAGTCACCAGAAGCAAGACCAGACGTACGGCTATGTCCCTAGCACCTCAATTCTCTAAACCTGTTTTGTCTAACCTCCCTGTACAGTCCGAACCCGAACCTATGCAGTTGGGGGTCACTAGACTGTCAGAGGCCGAAAAACAGTATAGGAGAAGGGAGGGGTTATGCCTATATTGCGGTAGAAAGGGACATATGATAACTAATTGTCCAGTGCGTCCGGAAAACTTCCGCACCTAAGAACCTTAAGGGGACAGATCTTAGGTGTGATGGAGTTGTCCTCTAACAAAAACAAAAGTAGATTCCTCCTTGAGGTATCTATTTCCCTTGATAACAAGAAGTTTTCTTGCAGTGCCCTAATGGACTCAGGTGCTGCTGGAAATTTTATTGATGTCCAGTTTATTAGGGGTAATGAGATACCGGTCAGGGAGAGACCTACGCCGCTAGCTGTAGAGGCTATTGATGGTAGACCACTCACACAACCGCTTATAACCCACGAAACTGTCCCTATTACGATCTCCATTGGGGCCTCCCATAGGGAGGAGATGACGTTTCAGGTTATTACTTCTCCATCATGTCCTATCATATTAGGGTTTCCGTGGCTGAGTAAGCACAATCCCTATATTGACTGGGCTAATGGGGAGATATTAGAATGGGGTAAAGAGTGTATGGGGAGATGTATAAAACCTGTACTAAAGAGATTGGATACTATTGACCTTCCCACTACCACTCCCCAAACTCCTGGAGTTCCCATACAATACCGAGAACTTCAGGAGGTGTTTAACAAGGCTCAATCCGATGTATTGCCTCCCCACAGAGCATATTACTGTGCCATTAACCTGTTTCCAGGCGCTATGCCACCTAAGGGGGCAGTTTATGCCTTATCTCCCCAGGAGAGTAAAATACATCAAAGAATCCTTGAGCAAAGGGCACATAAGAAAGTCATCCTCACCAGCTGGTGCAGGATTCTTTTTTGTTGAGAAAAAGGGTGGTGAGTTACGCCCTTGCATAGACTACAGGGCACTTAATAAAATCACTGTAAAAAATGCATACCCTATTCCACTCATTTCCAAATTGTTCGATAGACTTCAGAGAGCTAAAGTATTTACTAAGCTTGACCTTAGGAGCGCTTACAATTTGGTTAGAATTAAAGAGAATCATGAGTGGAAGACGGCATTTAATACCCGTAGTGGACACTATGAATATCTGGTAATGCCATTTGGGTTATGCAACGCCCCGGCCGTATTCCAAGACTTTATAAATGATGTACTCAGGGAATTCATTTACTCATTTGTCTTGGTTTATTTGGACGATATTTTGGTGTATTCCCCTGATCTTCAAACTCACCACTCCCATGTGAAACAGGTTCTGCAGACGTTGTTGAAAAATAAACTTTATTGTAAATTAGAAAAGTGCATATTTGACCAGCCTGAAGTCCACTTTTTGGGTTACAACATCTCTGCATCGGGATTTCAAATGGATCCTAAAAAACTAGAGGCTGTACTACACTGGCCATTACCCTCTGGTTTAAAAGCCATTCAAAGGTTTATTGGTTTTGCCAACTATTACAGAAGATTCATCAAGGGATTTTCTTCTGTAATAGCCCCAATCACAAATATGACTCGCAAAGGGGTTAGTAGCACGGTATGGTCCAAAGAGGCTGTGAATGCTTTTGAGACTCTTAAACAAAGATTTGCCTCTGCGGACATACTAAAACATCCTGACACCAGTAAACCTTTTATATTGGAGGTTGATGCATCCGAGACAGGGGTAGGGGCTGTTCTCTCTCAGAGAGAAAGCCAGGGAACACCATTGCATCCTTGTGGCTACTTCTCCAGAAAGATGTCTCCTGCTGAGCGCAACTATGATATTGGCAATAGAGAACTGTTGGCCATTATTCTTGCCCTCAAGGAGTGGTGACATCTTTTGGAGGGTTCCAAGGACCCCCTGTTGATCATAACCGACCACAAAAATCTGGCATATATAGGGGATGCCAAACGTTTGTCTTCCAGACAGGCTAGATGGTCACTGTTCCTTTCACGTTTTAACTTTCTCATTACTTATAGACCTGGTTCTAAAAATACCAAGGCTGATGCCTTGTCCAGGCAATTTGATAATGAGTCAGCTCCGGAACAGATGACATCTCCTATTATTCCAGCAGAGTGTATTATTGCTACTACTGTCCTCTCACTGTCTTCTCCACTGCTTGGCACCATACTGGAGGCCCAGCCTCAGGCGCCCAGTGGTAAACCGTGTGATAAACTGTTCGTTCCCCTATGTGAAAGGGTTAATATCATGAAAGTGTTCCATGACAATATAACTGCTGGACACCCTGGCATCAATAAGTCCACTGCCGCGATCACTAGATCATTTTGGTGGGATTCACTCAGGAAAGATGTAAAGG